ACAAAGAAACCTACCCGGTACATACAAAGCAATAGTTCCTGCTATTGCGGCCTATGTTGCTCGAGTACGAACCCCACAACTCTGCGAGACGCAATTGACTAACATCCAAATATGGCTAAACACAGCACTGCAGATTGCAACCGGCAGCTTGTAAGCACAATCAACTGCTGTCTAAGCAATACATGACACATAGATGGACATCCCAATAACGACATGTCTAGCAAAGTCCTCCCTTCAAGATTTATTCCTTGATGCCTTACTGCTTATCATAACCATATCGACCCCTATTGCAATGGAGGCAATATCAGTGGCTCCTAACCCACGTATTCGTATTGTAAACCTTACATGTTATCTGCTTTCAGATGCCGGCGGGTTACAACAACAACAAAATATAGTATATTTAAAAATAAATCAAAAACTTGCATACAATAATATTTTTATGTATGTATTAGATTAAAGTCTTTTTAGTCTTCTTATCAAATTTCTATTCGACAATCCTATATAAGGTTTTAATAAAAGAAATCCTAACTGTTATGTTTATGTCGGAATTAAGCTATATAATAAATAATTGTCGCCATTATAAACCTTGGTCTCGCAGCTGGATATTTAGACTACGTTACGTTGTCAATACGATTAACTGTTCTACTATATATATCGCTATTCTGCTCTACTGAACTACGATCCTATTAATTTTGAAATAGTAATGTTATAGAACTACTATATATGGTTCATGGACAGAATTTATATTCTCATTGTCGGATACTATTTTCAAACACCTCTATTTTATGCACTTTTTTATCCGATTTCTTCAATTTACACTCCATATCCCAACCCATTTATTGAGCTGTTCAAGACATTTCGTGCTTTTGACAAGGTTACAATGTAAAAATAGATTGTAAAAATCAATTAAACTAATTTAAAATAACTTAAAATTAAGTCAAAATTTTTCAATCTTACTTAGTTCCATTCTTTAACTATATATTGAAATAATTTAACATGATAGAATTGTTTTATTAAGATTTTATTTGGAAACAATAAGGTATATTAAAATAAAAAAGGGTATATATGTATTCTTATATAATACTAATTTACTTTAAATTACATTTTTTTTTGTTTATAAGTAGATAGCATTATCGATATACATATAAGCAAATTTAGTAGATAATATTGAGATTATAATTCGAATACTTTATTATATGTTTATATATATTCTTAGTGTTCAGTTGACGTAAAAACTCATATAGAATAGGTGCATATATATATATATATATAGATATATATATAAATTTTATTTCTAAACTCTGTACAACAAATAAACTTTTAGTACGATATTTTTAATCGGACTAACTACTTAAATATATGCATATTTCATGAAAATAAAAATATATTAATAATAAAAAAAAAAAAAGATTAAATATAAGCAAACTTACGTTATCGAGCTGTTGTTATAAAAGAGGAAAAAATCATTTTAAGATAACTTTTACATTCCTTACTTTTCAACAAATTTTACAAATATATTTATTTGTTATTATGAATCATAAAAATAAAATTTAAGAGTAAGCTTTTCGATAACGTTAAAAATAAAATTGGTATATTCAAGAATAAAAAATCACTTATATAAGAAATGTTTGAAGTTTTAAAAGTATTTGTATATAATTTTTTTTTTAAAGTTTGAGTTTTTTTTATAAATGTTGTGTTGTTATTATTTTTCCCTTTTGCCCGCAAGCCTTTATTCAAAATATGTTTTCTTTATATACAGTCTCAAATTCCTTAGGTTAGTAATTATGTTCCAAAGCATTATTACATATATTAATATATATATTCAAAAATTGTAAGCAATGTATTAGTATAGTCGACGATTTATTCCAATTATTTGAAATTTCATTTGTATAAAACCTTTTTCAAAATCATCTAAGTCTCCAATATTGGTACTGATTTGCTTAAAGGCCAAGAAAAAACCGTTGAAGCTTACATTTATTACTATCGCATTTAAGAAAATATATATATGTATTTATTATAACAAATTAATTTTTTTTTTTTGATTAAATCTAAGAATTATTCAATTTTATTAGTTTTTAAGCAATTCTAATATGCTTTAATTTAATTTGTATTCGTATTTTATAAATTTGTATTGATTATGGTTTCTTATTTTTCTTAAAATAATTTCCAGAGCTTTTGAGAACGTATGCATAATAAAAAAAAGAATATTAAATTATTGATTTTACAGGTTATTTCCAACTAATAAAGTTTTTCTATTTTTATATATTTTTTTTTTAAATTTTTACTTTTTTAATTTACTTGCTTGCATTCATTTATATTTTGGATTACGTATGCAGCAGCCGTTGTCTTGCTGTTGGTGATGACTGTGTCGGCGGTGGTTGAGGTGGAGGTGAACGCAATGGAAATGACGGTTGCATAAAACGTATGCACTCGGCACCATTATCATTCACCCCCGACGTTTCACTAGCTGCTGCATTGAATGCCGAAGTAAAAGCATTGGCGGCTCAAAGGGTGTGGTAATTACGTTCGTTGTGTGCCTTATAAAATTTGTAGGCAACTAAACCAATGGCCAATAGACCTAAAGTCAAAACGATACCCCCGATAAATGAAGAGCTGTCAAAACGATGACATGGTGGTGGCTCTGGTGCTGTTGTTGTTGTATCAGGCTTTATTGTAGTAGTTGAGTTGGGTTTCACAGTAGAAGTGGTAGGATCAGGTTTAACTGTTGTAGTAGTTGGAATTGGAGTTGGTTTAACCGTAGTAGTTGTAGTTGTAGTAGTATCAGGTTTTATTGTAGTAGTGGGAATCGTAGTTGTATTATCAGGTTTAACAGTAGTATTGTCGGGTTTTACTGTAGAAGGGGTAATTGTAGGTTTGTCGGTTGTGGTAGTAGTAGGTGAAGTATCAGCTTCAGGCTTAACTGTAGTAGTTGGATCTGGTAATTTTGTTGTAACAGTGTTTGAAGCTGTAGGTGGTGCTGTTGTAACTGGTGGAACTGCATTTGTATCAGAATCCGGTTTAACAATTGCTGGTGGAGCCTCATCTTTTGTCGGAACTACTGGAACACTAGAACCATTGGTATTTGCCACAGCTGCATCTGTGTTTAGAAATAAAAAGTAGTTTTAATTATATGTGAATAATTTATAGTCTATATTGTTATATATTATATAATTATTTTTTTTATCAGTTAAATATCATTTATAGACGGAGTATCCTTTATTTGTCATTGTGCAAATTAAACAAATATATATGTCTGATTTTATATATATATGGAATTTAATGTTAATTATTTTATATTAAAACGAATCTTTTATATATATATTTTGTTTGAAAAAATTTTTTTTTTGTTTTTAGTTTTTTAAGTATCTGTCTGAGTAGTAAAGTATTATATGATATTTTAGTATATGAAAATATTTTTTTAAGGCATAAAACAACTGTATTAATTGCAGAGTCATTTGCAGTCAAAACACATGTGCCATATGATTAGAAACTGTTAGTATATATATCGCCAAATAATACTTAGTTTCTACAGTTTACAGTTTCTATTCTACAGTTTAAATTGTTTTATATTATTGTAGTTGCTATTCTTAGAATATAAATCAATAAAGCTCGCTTTGAATTAAACGTAAAAACCAATTTATTTTTCTTTTAATTGATATGAAGTGGTATACTGCTTTAAAAATTTTGTGAATTAAATGTAAGAGGTATGTATTGGTGATATCTTATATTTCACCTTCCACTAAATTGCAGTATTAAATAATTATTTTGAATTTACAGTCACTATTATGTTACATTTTGTAATATCTATAGCTGTCTCAAAAGCTTTTCAAATTATATTTAATAATGTAATATAGATAGTACACAAACAACAAATATCTAGATGTCCAATGCTAACCACAAAATCGAAAAAGATTGTAAAAATCAAAAAACAGTTATTTTTTAGTATAAAATTATTATTCTAATATTATAACATCCTAATTCAGTCTCTATACATAGAAATAGACAGCTAAGATTATAACCTCCCTTCAAAACAATTTCCAAACAGACGACTAAAAATGTTCCGATTACTCTTTTATATCACGTGTTTCGTCTTATAATAAGGCTACAAGTTTTTATACAAAAATCATATTATAATATATGTGATCAATTAAAAATAAAAATATTGACCCTATTTATACCTGCGGCATCTTAACCGTTGAAAATGTTTTCAATTGAATTTTACACTATTGTTAAATTTATTTATTTTTGTTTAGTATATAGTATATAGACACACAAGACTTGCTAGCAAAAAATAACAAATAATAAAATATAATATCCATATCAAATTAAAGAAACGTAGCAATCATACTCATCTCCTTCTTGTCTTTGATTAGAAACAGATTTCATGCGCTAAGCTGTCGGTAGTATTGATATGCCTACTGAAATAGGGGAATACCCGAATATGATTTTATTAAATCATTGCGAATTGTATGTATATTTTATATTATGATGTATAATCCGTTGTAAGTGTTCATATCTTCAACGTAATTTGAGTTTTTATTTTTTAATGATAGAATTTATTTCAGAAAAAAAATACTCTATTTTTTATACTATATAACTTTAAGATTTTCTTAAAGTTATATAAGACTTTCGAGTTCTTATATAACTCGAAATATTACAATATAAATTTTTTTAGAAACGCATAGGAAAGCGCATTTGGGATAGTTAATTTCTCCCTAATGAACGTACGTAATGAAAGATAAAGCCAATTAAATCAGCGAAAATTGTAGTTTTTGTTTTTTAAGATGTATATACCATATATCGCTGGTTTGGTCATGTCGTGTGAATGGATGAAGATGCTTTAGTGAAAAAGGTGTTTGAAGCAGTAGCTGGAGGAAGAATGCGTAGAGATAGACCGTGCGTCTGGCGGAGTGATCAAGTTGAGGGAGTACTAACCGGATATGAGATATACGAGACTGAAGAAGGCGCGCAGGCATAGGAAAAAGTTTAAATCGATGTAAGACGTAGCCTCCACGACTTATTAACACTTCTAAAGACCACAAAGATTTATATTTTTTACAAGATATTCAACATACCGTAGAAATACGGGTATAGAGTTAATTTCAGATTATATTTAAAAAAAAAATATATAAAAGTATGCGAAAATTTTAATTCTACTTAATTATCACTGACTTATTAAAGAGGTCTCGGTCTCCTATGCGTAATTTATACAATTCATGACTCATTATTACTTTAAATAATAACTTATCTTGTTGAAGGAATATATATGTATATGTATATATAAATAAATTCTTTGATAAATATAAAATACAATTAATATTTAAAAAAAATGGGGTTATAAATTGAAGGTAATTGTTATAGGTTTAGAAAAACTTGTAGGATAAAATGTGTTAAGGTAGAATTTAAGGTAGGAAAACTGTTTAGGGAAAATGTACATTCGTTTAAAAAAAAAAATTGGAAGGAATAAATCGGTTAGGTAAGATTTACATTAGTTTTAAAGGACTTAATATAGTAAATTGTGTACTTAGGATTACCTTTAGCACTTTAGCTTTCAGGTTCAGATACCTTTATGGATGCAAGAAGTTTATTCTTTAATAGCGTAATTAAGTGTATAAACAACTATAATTGATTTAGAAATTATAATTGTTAACATTTATTTATAACAATTAATAAGTAATTAAGTTATACACACTTGCAGTAAATCATTTACCAACAAACAGTCAAAACATATTGAAAATTGTTATTATTCAGAATGTGTTTTCATAGGATTGTATAACAGGATTTTTAATATTTATATTATTGCCATATATATTATAACTAATTTTATTAATTCAATATTATTAATTTAAAAATATCAAAAAATTAAATGTTTGCGTGGTAATAAGTAAATTAATTTTGACTATTATTTATATTTATAAGGAGGAAACGTGATTTTTTAAAAAATACTTTTCTTATAGAGCATCCTATAATAAATGCATGAGAAGCAATTGCCCGTAAACCCCCGTAAAGAAAATGCAGTACCACATAAAGTGATGTAAATGTCATTTAATTCTTGGAATAAATGTAAATGATAATAAAAAAAAAAATAAACGCCAATATTTCCACAAAAAAAAAATATAAAAAACGCACTCATAAGCAAATAACTGTACATTTTCGTTTCCTTTATGCACGTTATATTTTTGCAACACAAATTGCTATAAGAAAAAAAAAACAACAACCAAAAATATATCAAAGACGTAATTTATACGGATTTTTTTCTTTTGCATTTTAAATATTTCTTGTTTTATACGCTACTTTATCATATTTCATTTATATAAAATGTATAGACGTTTTAATTTAATTAGTAAAAAAAAAAACAGAATAACATTCGTCCCATTCTACCTACACATTTATTATTTTGTAGTACATACCTTGACAATATGCTCCCGTGAACAACCCGATCAACAGGCAAATCAATAAACCCTTTGTTGATGACTTCATCATTTTATAAAATTGCAATTGCAAATGCAATAAGGACCACTGGTTTATCTGAAAATGGAGTCAAATTTCTTGTGAAATTTGCTTAGCGGCAAGTAAAGCGAAGAAGTTCTGCAAAACACAAATAATAAAAGCAACAACAAATTAGAATTCAAGGAAAACTACAAAGAATCTTCAAATAAATATTTTTCAGCATATATTTCACTCATTTACACCATTTTAATTTATTTTTGTACATATAATTATTGTAATTCACAATTTTATTAAAAAATACCTTTAGCCACAAATTCTATAGCAAAATCAAATTTTGCGTTAGAAAAAAAAATATTCTCACTTTCCGTAAATCACGAACTTGATGACTGTCTTCAACTAAAATAAAACAGATGAAATATAGTATGAACATACCCCTATACGTCATAGAAAGTGTTTCTAATGTTAATAAAAAATTGTAAAAAGTATTATAGCAGTGTTCAAAAGGTACTAAAAATACTTAGTTTTCGTTATGCATAGTTACTTATTAATTTGTATAAAAACTTGTTACATAAATAAAATTTTTAAATAAATAGTTGTAAATAAATAATAATAATAAATAAATAATCGTATAAAGTTTAAACATATTTTAGAATGTTATATAATGTTGTAAATTTATATAAAAAATTGTTAACAGTTTTTTAAATATATAAGCGTAGAAAGTTTAAGCATCTTTTTGAGAGTATGATTACATTGGTTTCGCATTGTTTTTAAAAGGTCTCTTTACGTTTATTATTTAGCACGCTAAGTTAGTGCTAAAATGCAAAACATTTTGTATATACTAGTCTTAAAAGAGGATATTCTTAAAATTGATTTTATAATCGTATAAAAACGCTTCATTTTGCTAAACAGCGTTTTTACTTTTAAAAAGCAATTTAATAATTTAATCATACTGCAGAAACGATTGCATTTTGCTGCTAAAACATTATTTAAGCCTTAAATACTAACTATCAACTGATAGTAAGCTTAAAAGCAATTTGAATTTAATTTTATTTAAAATTGTTATTAAAATCTGTTTTAAAATGGTCTTGCAGACTCATGTAAACTTAGCAAAAGTTTAAAATTACTATATGCAAAATCTAAACTAAAAAGCAGACACACATTTATTTAATTAGCATATTACTAGGACATAAAGTAATTGATTCATATACATATACTAATATTGGCTTTAGTATCCAAATGAATTGTATCTGGTAAAATGGATTTTGTTCAATTGCTCTATGTATAGTTTTTACACTATGACTACACTGGCTAGACTTTGGCAATATTTTTCTTCATACTGTGATATTTTTACTCAACATATAAATTTTTGTTCGTACATTAAATTCGAATATAATACATATTTGCATACGAAAATAAAAAACTTGTCAAAATCTAACTAGTGTGGACACCAATAAGAATCTATGGAATTTTGGTTTTTCGACATAGAAACTTTTTTGTGAACAAACTGTTCGTCACTCGATTTATATTTACAATTAATTATGTTTTCTATGTTTTTGTGTTTAACTTTTCTACGTTAAATAATTCAGTGTTTTATTATAAAGAGATAAGACGTAATAAAATGAGTACCATTTCACACCGCACGGTCCGTAAATTATTTTTTCTTGATTGTAAGTATAGTTTGCAGTTAAGTTTTAAACAGATTAGTCAAACAACATCTTCAGTGGTCTTTTGAAGCATTTATTAGCATAATTTTTCGTATATATAGACCATAAACGTCAGTGATTGAAACTTATCAATCAATTCCACACAATTTTTGTTCTTTATTCATAAATAAATCTTATATTTACTGTATTTTTAATTAGAACTAATGCATAAACAACAGCTGTATAATTAACTTAATCATTGTAAATTTTATTTTTTTTATTTCTATCAATAATATTTGAAGAAAATATATATACAAATTCTAAAGTCGATTTGCGAAGACAGGTAAAACATTTGTTTTATACCATAGTTCCGATAATGAAAAAAATTTTATCCTATTGGAATCTAATAATAAATAAAAACATTTATAAATAAATATTAAAGCATTTTTGAACTAAAATATAAAATAAAAATTCTTTTTGCCTCCGCCACGAAAACGACCTTAGAACTCGATAATCTAATAATAAATAAAAACATTTATAATTTTGAAAACAAGTTACATATATTTATTTATATTAATTTATTGTTTTAACAGTTAAACACAATTAGGCATATTGAATTAAAAGATAAAATAAATATTATTTTTGTCTTCCCCGCGATAACGACCTTAAAACTCGACAAAATGCAAATTTTTTTAAATATGCCTGCAAAATTCAAGCTATATAAAGTAGATATATATATATTTTTTCTTCAAATCAAGAAGAATAAAAAAACAAATTATAGTGATTAAGTTAATTATACAACTGTAGTTTATGTGCATGATGTTATAATATTCTGGAAAATAAAACATCTCTAATTAATTATCTCCAATTAATTATAGAAAAAAGAAATTATGTACTATCAGTTAAATTGCGCACTTGCAATCGGCACCAGTTACTGTGTAAACGACCATTTAAATTCTTCAGTCACTTAGAAAGTGTTACGAACAAAACCGGCTGACAGAAACTGAGGAGTGTAGGATTTGCCTTATAGAAATGGTATCTAATCCAAGGCCGTGTGCGAGTTCGAGTAAATTGAGGTAAAGTAAATTGAAATTTCCTAGGGGTTTTTTGCACTGTACTTATGTAAATATTTATTTATTTATTCACTGCATTTATTTATTATTTTTGGTTTAAAGTTTTCAAATTTATTTATTAAGCACCTTATAAAATTTTCACAAGGGTAACACATAATTCACCTAATTTTTATTTAATTTACCCTACTCGAAATTCTGGTAAATATCAACATTCGCTGCCATACCGACATAATTCACTATTTCCCTCAATTTACAATCAATTTATTCAAACTTGCACACGGCCAAACTCGCGGTTAATTTTTGACTGTGAATAAATGTGAATAAGTTATTAATTTAATACTTTGCTAAATGTAGCTAGATAGCTTATTTGAACTAATTCTGTAAATATTATATAACAGTTAAAATAATATAAACTAAATAAATATTATTAAAATTATTGAAAAATAAATTTGTTTCAGTCGTTTTTAGTTATTTGGTTATTTTTTTTTTCTCATACTACGGTAACCCTGGTGCTATACATTGATCTCTTATCTGCTGCTTTCATACATTACCAAACACAACCAAGAAAGGTTATTATTTGCAAATTTGTTTATCGTTGTAAATACCTAAATCATTTTTTTTTATTTTAAAAGTGCACAAAATAACAGTAACAACGTACAAATAGCAATTAAATGTCTAAATTAAAAATTAAAAAAATTTGAAATTGTAAGTAATAAAAACATTACAAATGTAAGGAATATTCATTTATATTACGTTGTGTATAACGTGAAAATGTGATAAAATGCAAAAATCCAGTTGGATGCCAGTTAATACCAACTACTCTTATGAATGTGTTAATTTTCAAAATGTAAATATTAGTGACAAAAAATTAAATATCTGCTTACAGTCTAGTTATTTAGATTGTGTATTTGGTAATATTTTTAGTAAAAAAAAGTTGGTGTCAGAATTGTAGGGACATAGAATAATTGGCGCCATCAAAGTCAGGTGACATCATTACGTAGAAGTTTGACAATCAAAATAAAATTAGTGCTCTACTTTTAATGTCTTTGGATAGTATTTAAAGTTCAAGAATATTTATTATATATTCTAATTGTTTATATAGGTAAAAATTTAATGCTGAACGCATACATATGTAGAAAAATTATATGACTAAACAACAATGTAATCTGAGGAAAACAGCACAATCAAAACACCGAAAAGAACAATGGTAAATTCATCAAATTTCTCCCCTCTTTGACTGTTATTCATTTAAAAACTATTTGCCAAATCATTATAGACATTGCCAAATATTTTTTTATTCGATAATTCTTCCAACACTTAATGCGGTATAGGTGTGAGATAATGCATTTAAAATGATCAAATTATTTTTTTTTTGTTTAGTAATGAAATTTATAGAAAATATATAAATTAATAATAAAAATACTATTATTTTGCTAATTTAAAAAGTAATTAAATCTGGCATTATGTATTTTGCCATTCATGAAATTTTAGCACAATTTTAATTTTTTTAAGTGAATAAAAAAAAAAACAATCTTTTATCAATTTTAATAAAATATCTTGCATGGTTCAAAATGATGTTTATGACGTGGTTCAAATAAATGTGTTTTATTAATCATTCTAAATCTATGTACTTGGAAATTACAGACCGTCTAGAAACACGGTTTTGAAAAAAATAAGTTTTACCACAACTTTTTATACCATTTTTTCACCCTTTAAAAGCCATATTTGAAAATCTTCGTCCCAGAACTTATTTTTTATAAGAAAGCAGAAAAGTTGTAGAGTATTGGGTACATTCAGCAGCAGTTTTTCGAGTGACTTACTCATTTTAAATCCGAGCTTTACTTATTTGTATAATTCAAACATAAAATAAATTAAATAAATAAGATGAAAATGAATAAATGAAATTTAGATATGTAATAAATATAAGCATAACTCATTTTAAATATACTACTAACCTATAACCTACTTACCTATAACCTATACTAACCTATAATCTGAACTAACCTATAATCTTTACTAACCTATAATCTGTACTAACCTATAATTAACCTATATATACTAACCTGTCAAATTAAAATCGCATTAATTTAATTAAAATTATATATATACAATTGAATTAAATTAAAATTATACATATACTAGTATAGGTTAGTATAGGTAACCTATAACCTATACTAACCTATAATCTGAACTAACCTATAATCTTTACTAACCTATAATCTGTACTAACCTATAATTAACCTATATATACTAACCTGTCAAATTAAAATCGCATTCATTTAATTAAAGCTATATATATACAATTGAATTAAATTAATTATGTTTATAAAATTAAATTAAATTAAAATTGTATTTATAAAATTAAATTAAATTAAAATTATATTATTTATGTCTTAACACACAGAATCTAAATAGAAAGGGTCAAATAGTGAAGTAAAAGTAAAGTCAAATGTTCAATTTTTAATTAAGTGAATTGTTAACATATATACATATAATTTAGTTTATTTCTATCAAAATTTGTATTAACCAAATTAAATCTAAGTTAGTGTGATAATACGTCTAATTGACTAACTCATTTAGACCCTCCGGTCCATTATGATATTACTACTTAATACGAGACTTTATACTGTTAGTTAAATATGAAACCATTTTGAGGCTATTATAATTGTCTAAGAAGTTCCATATACTA